GCAGTGACGGACGATAGTTCATGTAGCACAGGTGCACAATATGTATTGTGTTTCGTTTGGAATATAGCATTGCAATATCTCCGGCGGCCAAATATAGATTGCAGTTTCCTCTACGCCTTCAACATCGTACCAAGTGCTCAGACACGTATTGCAGTCCGGCCATGTATTTTTAGACCTCGGATGGTATCCCTAAACACGCCACCGATGCACATAGCAGATTTTATAAAACATTACGCCCCCCCTTATTCAATCGTGTGCGCCCTGCGGGATCTAGGGTTAAAGCTGTGGAAAGTATGAATCGAGTTTTTTTGATGGGATTCCATACGGACACCACACATTTAGAACCCCTGTTAAAAACTCGACTTCCCACCCACGAGCTTTAACAAATCTCGGGGGGCAAGCTTTCGCCTTTTTTTTCCCGCCCTCTTACACAAAAAAAAATATTCTTTTTTTTTTTTCACACAATTTTTGGGGAAGGGAGAGAGGTTTTCGTTTTTTTTTAAGGTGCTATGTTGCTAAACAAAAAAGTTAGGTTTCTCGAGGCTCTGACGCGGAATTGACGTCGGAAGAATCGCAGACCTTTCAGCCGTTTCAGCTTGAAGGTACTGCTTTCTAACCCGCCCCATCGTTACGCGGTCCGTGTGCTCGGGCGCGCGCCCAGCACGGAGGGTGTAACATCTTCTCTGCTCTAAAGAACCCTACCTCCGAGCAAGTTACATTTTTGGCAGGCTAAGCGAAGTTTTGGAAGCAAGTACGCTAAGTCCCTGTTTCAGGTAGAGTAATGTGTTCTGTGCTAGCATTTATGTCATATGATTGCCTAAAATCGACTTAGCGACACTTTTAATTTGGTTCGTGCTCTACATGATTTTTTTCACAGAACACCTACAGAAGGCGTTCTAAAGAAAGAGCACAACGTACACCAATCGAAAAACACACACTCAATCGCTGACTTTATAGCAATATTTAATAAGTGCTAAGGAAAACGGCCAGTTTGGGGCCGCCGACCCGTTAAGGGTCGAACCAAACTTTTAACCAATAAAACTTGTTATATGCAAATGAGAGACCATGGGTGGTCGAAATACGTTAATTACGAAACCTTCAGACATTGATAGACGAATGGCGGGAAACAAATGCTTTGGCGCCACCGAGCTAATACGCCATGGTCAAGTACCGGATAGAGGTAAAAGCTGAAGCGGTTGCCCTGGTTCGAGAAGGCGTACCAGTGTCGGCAGTTGCATAAAGAATGGGAATTCTGAAGCGAACCATTCGCAAGTGGGTTCAAGCTGCTACCAGTAGCAAGTCGCTGGAACTCGCTCGAAGAGGACCACGTCCACTGCTGCCTGAAGAGGCAGAACGCCATATTTATGAGTGGGTAGTCGGTCGGCAGCTTGCCGGGTTTCCTGCAGACCGCCACCAGATCCTGCGTAAGGCCCAGGAGGTAGCACTCCTTGTGTGGTCGCTCTGTCAAGGGATGGCTGGTATCGGCGATTTATGGAGCGCCATCCAACGCTGGCAAGTCGCACGGCTCAGAAACTGACGCTGAAGCGGAATAATATTGAGTCTACAAATCTGACTACTTTGTTTAACTGACTAGCCCATTGAGCTAAAGTTGGATGCGTCGCGCGTGTTCAACATGGATGAAACTGCCTTTCAAACACGAAACAACAGCAAAAAAGTGGTGGCGGTGCGTGGACCCTCTAACGTGTGGAGCATGGATCCTGCTATTAGCTTTCACCTGACTATTGTAGGTTGTGGAAGCAGTGCTGGCTTTGTCGTGTCACCCGCATTCATCCTGCCGGGAAAGACGGTTGAATGGGATATAATGAAGAACTGTGATATACCAGGGGCTTCAGTTACTACGTCTAGCTCAGTTTTCATCAATAGGTTTTTGTTTGAGAAGTGGCTGCAATTCTTCGCGAAATCTGTGCCACGTTCCGTGAAGCGGCCGCTGCTGCTTGTACTGGACGGATGCAGCTCTCACTACTCCGCGGGCGTGGTCAAAAAGGCCTCGGATTTGGACATCCTGCTTGTTTTGCTGCCGCCAAATGCAACCCACCTGCTACAACCTCTAGACGTTGCTGTCTTTGCCACACTTAAGGTAAAGAAATGCAACTTGATTTTCGGAATGGTGGAGGATGACGACGATAGACGCTACACGATTGACAAGACGACAGCGATACGCTTGGCGAGCATGGCGTGGACGAGCAGCAAAATAGGCCGGAACATCAAGGTTGGATTCAAAGCATGCGGAATTTTTCCGCTTTCTTTGGTAAACATGAGCAATAGACTAGGTGTCTACAACAAGAATGGAGTTTCTAGCCACGTGCACCTTGCAACGTGGCTGCACGTAAAGTCGACGGTCGAACATGAGGTTCTCAGGCTTCCTGTACGGCCGAAGAAATCGACTAAGCGCAAGCGAGTCGAGCTGGGTGGCCAATGGCTGACGCAGGCGAAGTTAGAAGAGGGTGTGGCAAGTGTAACAAAACCGCCCAAACCAAAACCTGGCAAGCCGATATCAGAGCCAGCTACGCCTGCCAACATTGTTTGTTCTGTTGTGGTTTAGATCAAAAGAGTGTTAGTTGGATGTTTGAACTGAACTTTAAATAGAAAGCATTACTTACCATTTAGTGCGGAGAATTAACGTGATCAAGCGGACTCGAACTCGCGACAACCCTGCTCCCCGAAGGGCCCTCAATAAGCTAGCCGTCTTAACGACTGAGCTGTCAGCACTAATTAATAAA